GGCCGCCCGGTGCCGAGCCGCCGTCCGAGCCCCGCGCGGCGCGCGCCTGCGCGCAGAAGGGGCGGGCCCGCCTCCCTGCAGGACGCGGGGCGAGCGCCGAGTGGGAGCAGGGGGCGCGGGCCCGGCCGCGTGGGCCTAGTGGCCTCTCCCCTTGCCTTCTCGGTGGAGATTCATCCTGCCCCCCACCCTCCGCATCTCGGCCAACTGTGTGCAGGGGGCGCGGGACCCGCCGAGCCGGAGAGCGACCCTGCTGGGCCCTAGCGGAGTGGCCAGTGACAAAAGACGGGGTTGCACTCCCGCACGCGTCCCGGCTAAGGCGCTGCGGTGCCCAACGCCCTCCTACCGCGCCGCCCCACCCCCAGCCCGGAGAAAGGGAGCCAAGGAGCCTTAGACAACGGCCTCACAATGGGTGAAGGGGCGTGCGACCAGAGGAAAAGGCCTAGAGGGGCGTGGGTTCCGATTCTGACCCTGCCTGGCGTAAAGGGCGGCACTGACCAAACCTGCGTTTGGATGACCCTGTTGCCACGGCTACTAGTGTGACCTGGAGGACATCATTTAATCCTGGCACTAATTTCTCCATTTGTAAAGACTAACCTACTTCATGGCATATAGTTCCTGTTTTGGTGTTACCTTGAGCAAGTCACTGCTTCCCTGTGCTTCAGTTCCCTTGATCTAACTGGAAAGTGGATGTAATAACATACTGCATGCAGATGAAAACAGGGCAACTCTTGGTCCAGCCTAGAGCTGGGGGCTCCTCTCCCACACCAAAGGATTTAACCTAATCCCTCATTTTACAGAAAAAGGACACTGCTGTCCATTTGGCCTGCTAAGATCATGACCACAGTCAGACCTCCAGCCTCCTGACTTGGTCCCAATGAGAAAAAGATTCCTAATTAATTGTAGGCAAATTCCCAAACTGTGATCATCAGATTTAAACCTGGTTCAAATAAACCAGACTTTATTCTGGTTGCCACGCCAACGCATTACATGTGTTCTTCCTTGCTGCAATGTCAATTTTTAATCACATCTCATATTATTGGGAACAGAACTGCATCAGTTGAGGATGCTGGTTGCCATAACAATGTAAGTCTCTTTATACACACCAATACACACACAACCATCCGGTCTTTTTTTCTCTCATCTCTACCCAGACTGCTTGTTCTAGATTTTCCAAAAGGTTTATTTTAGGTATTCAGATTACAAGAAAGTGATGGAACTACACAAACACATGGCTTCTCAATTACAAATGCATCTTTCAGACAGTGATTCAGACAGACAAGTGGAATCTGAGCCAGCAGGATGCAGGAACGAACAGGAGTTGCTAAGACATTATTCTGCCCATTACCAGTATTTGGTTGGTCCAGATACTTTTGGTGGTCTTGCTTGCTTGAACACCTTCGGGGATGCAGAGCTCCTCCCAAGTTGATGTGATTTGGGGAAGGTTCTCTCACAGAGCCAGCGTTTGTTGTGCTACGCCAGGATGCCCTCAAAAGCAAGTGAGCTAGTCCAATCTTTCCCTCAAGTGACGCCCCCCTTCTATATGTCAATAGCCCCAAAGTCTTCTCCAAGTTAACCTTCTACCCCAGTGGACCCAAATTTGATTGAAATGTTGATAGCAGAAGCACAGAGAAAACTGTTGTGAGCAGCCAACAACTTTGTTCCTACAAAATTTAGTTCACTCTTGGTGCAGTCACTGTTTTAGGAAAATCATCAAAACATGCCCTTTATGTAAGTGTGCAAACATCTCTGGTTCTGACAGAAGATTTTACTAACAGGAAGCCCTTTCTAGCATAAACATGCCAAAATCCTAGGTAAAATATTACAAGAAAAAAAGGAAACCAGCAAAGGAGGAAGAAGAGTGAATTCATGGTTGAATTTGCAATAAGGGGAACGAACAGGAGTCAGAAACAAGAGGGAAACAGAGCAATAAGGAAGGGGTGGCCTGGTGTCCTTCTTGTCCTGGAGGCTGTTATTGGATAGACAGGGACCAGCTGCTAAGGACCGGGGTTTCATCACACACTTCATGGCAGGAGATGGGATCTTAAGTCCAGGTGATACCAGGAGCAGGTACTGAAAAACGCATGAAAAGACCACATCCCCAGACAATGTAATTGTGGGCTCCATAGTGGGAAAGGCAGGGGAGACACAAGACACAAGTTTCCAAATATGATTAGCTTCAGGTCCTGCTTCCCCCAGAGCATGGGTTTTTATTACCCAAAACTTCAGATGTTGACTAAGTTTACATTTGGGTTTGGGAACTGAAGCTTCTATTTGTAACCGCTAGGAAAAAACTTGTTTTAGTGAAGCCCAGAGCTTCAGCTATTTCATTTCCTTTACCCTCACTCTGTAAACATCTGAACCTTGTTCTCAACAATTTGTCTTATGATGATCCTGAGGAACCCAACAAAAAAAGAATCAGCTGACCAAGCCATATTCATTTTCTATCAAGGAACAAACTGGTGGCTTAAAACACAAATGATCAAAGCCCAAATTGGGTCTCACTGGGTCTCAAGGGGTTTTATTTCCCAGTACCAAGGATTTTCTCCCCAAGGAATTTACCTTGTCAAGGGGACAAACACCACTTAGGAAAGGTGGACCAAGAACCGAAGTCTATACAAGCCATTATTTTGCTTTACTCTGACTCTATCTGCTCCAGGGCATCTTCTGGTGTCATTTATCAGATACCTCCATTTAGGCTATGACAGAACACCACAGACTATACTAGGTGTCTTACAAAAAAAGCTTGTTTCTCACAGTTCTGTAGGCTAGAAAATCCAAGATCAAGACACTGGCAGATTTCATGTCTAGTGAAGTCCTGCTTCCTGGCTTCACCAACAGTCATCTCCCTGCTCTGTCCTCACACGGCAGGAGGAGCAAGGGATCTTTTATACGGGTGCTAATTCTAATCATGAGGGCGCCACCTTCATGACCTAATTACCTCCCAGAATCTGTACCTCCAAATATCATCACATTGGGGATGATTCTACATGAATTTTGGGGAGATATAAACATTCAGTTCATAGCACATCATATCCCACAATCAGCTGTTTGGATGAGGTTGGAACTTACCTTCCAATCTCCCTTCTTCCACTCAAGGAACACACATTGGCTTTCTGGTACAAACCAGCTACTTGGACAGTGTTGGCCAGGTATGGGGGTGGCAGAGTAGGTGGGCATCTCCCTTAGAAAAGCTTATCTACTGAGAGGCAAAAATAAAGTTCCTTGGTGTACTTATTAACTCAAGAACCTCTCCCTGGCTTTGGACAGGAAATGAAAAAAGTCAACCTTTCAACTTTGCTTTATTTAGCAACATCAAGTTAGCGTAAGGTTTTATACTTTATTGAAATACGAAATATTTGTTATCTGTTAAGAAACACGGCACACACTCCAACTGAGTAAACCTGAAGAGAATTTAACAAAGGGTCTATTTTTAAAGGGATGGCCAGGTTGTTGGAAAATCACAATTATTAGAGTAAAACCATTGGGGCTAGGAAAGAAAAGGGGAGACTGTGGTTACCAGGACTCGGAACAAGAGGGCCATATGTAGCACACTATGCCCTTCAGATGAGGACCACCACCAGCCTGAACCCTACAGAGAGGAGGGCTGTGGAAATAGGTGTTTCAATCTCAATCTTTTCGCTCTCCTTTCCTACTGCTTTTCCCTAATGGCTGAACCTAATCAGAAATCAGAGGGCAAAAGAGTATGTGGACGGAGCCAATAGAGATTAACTTCCTGGGGCTCAGAACAGAGAATGGAGGCATGGTGGTGTGGGAGGGCCAAATGGGAAGTGTCTATTTGTTTAGGCAAAATGAAATTACTAACCCCTAAGTTTTTCTTCTTCGTACACAGGTTGGTGGATTTAGGCTGGGCGGTCTCAAGCTGTAGGCTTGAGGCTAACAGGCACCTTCCCTTACCCCCTGACACCTGTCTCATATCCTAGGACGAGCAGGCTGACAGAGGGATATTATTCTCATAGTGATGGTAGAGATGCAAAAGACCAAGTCCATTTGTGTAAGCATTTAAGCCTTTAGTCATGTTGTATGTTTCCTGTGGCTACAGTAACTAATTACCATAAATTTGGTGACTTATTAAAACAAAAATTTATTACCTTGCAGTTGTGGAGCTCTGAAGTCCAAAATGGGTTTCATTAGTCCAAATGGATTGAGGGGATGTTTAGCCTGGAAAGGACCTTCACAAAGTTAAGCTGTGGGCAGGGCTGTGCTCCCTCCAGAGGCTTTAGAGAACTGTTTTCTTGTCTTGAGGTTCCTTCTGTTTTCAAAGCCACAGCGTAGCATCTTCTGGTGTCTGATTTTGCTTGTTTTCGCATCAGCTTTTTCTGGTCCTTTTACCTTCCAGCCTATTGTGATTACACTGAGCCCGCTTGGATAATCCAGGATAAGCTTCCCATTTCCGGACCTTAATTTAGTCACACCTACAAAGTTCCTTTTACCACGTTAGGTAACATATTCACAAGTTACAGGGTTAGAAGACAGGCATCTTTGGGGAAGGGGAGGGCAGTATCTAGTCTACTAAACATGTCATGCCTACCAAAATTCCACTGGTCAAAATCAGAGGACAGGAGGTACTCTGCTCATTAAGGGAGGATGGGGATACACACACACACACACACACACACACACACACACACACACTCACACACACCTATAAAAGAATCTGGCAAGGCCTTTAAGAAGTATTTATTGAATGTGAGTTTAGACTATTATGACTCGGGTATCATACTGATCATCTTACTATAATCACAGCCACAGCTATCCAGGCTTGAGTTCCTGCTGGGTCCGCAAGGGAATGTCATCTATAGCAAAGGTGGATACAAGCTGTAATTTAAGATCTTATTTGTGCATCCCAATTATAATGCTGCTGTGTATGCTACAACCACACTGAAATTTAGGCTCTGAATTTCCTTCTCCCTCTACTCCTATCACCCAGAACAAGAGGACACATTATTTACTTTAAACCCTTCTCTGAAGGTGAAGAGATTCTGCAGGAATACTAAAGTTTCCTCACTCCTTTGCCAGAACTGGCCCAGAATTCAGCTGAACATCTATTAAGGCAGGGAGTCCACATACTACTTGCTTTGCTCTGAGGAGGTTAAAGCAAACCTAGAGTGCTGTTGCTACTAGTGGGCCCCATTCTGTAAGGATACTGACAAACCAAATTCAAAACTGATGAACTGAAAAGGGCTGAGTGGATGTTTAGCCTGCAGAAGACCTTCCCAAGAGCAGACAGTACTATGATCTGTGGGGCCTGAGAAAGATCCAACTAGTAGCAATGAACACCCAAAAGTCCAGACTATACTCACAAAATACCATTTCCAAATAAAGATAACCAGAGCTCACTGGAGAAATGGCTGCCTCCAGATCTGAGATTAGAGAGAGGAGCCTGGAAATCTCATCATATTAGAAAGAAAAGAAACTGATAAAGATTATTAGGGTTGCTTCAAATGAACTCATGAGGCAACCTGAGTTGACTTTCATGAACCAAAGACAGAACAAGGCAACATCAATAAGGAGAACTCCAATGGATTAAAAAAAAAAAAAAAAAAAAGGTGTGTAAAATCACGGTTTGCGGGTTTAATAATAGATTCAGGAAAAGATCATCAATGGCTGCCAATGACAAAAAGATACCCAAATAGTTTTGGGAAGGAAAACAAAACAGATCTGATAAAACCTCTAGAATAATGGGTCTCAAGTTTGAATAAGCACCAGAATCACTTGGAAGGCTTATTGTAACACCTATGGCTGGACTCCACTTAGTTTCTGATTCTAGGGTGGGGCTTGAGAAACTCTGTTTTTAACAAATTCCCATATATGATGCTGATGTTACTGGGCCAGGCACACTTTGAGAACCATCGTATTGTTCTTAGATCTAGTCTAGAACATGCTAAATATCATTAGCATGCAATCAGCAAAATCAAGACTGAAAAACTACTCAATAGTGGCCTTCAAAAAATATACTGCAAGGGACAAGAGCACAAGGAGATTTAGGTCTTTTAGTCGTATATAGTGAACGGTCATCAGCTGGAGTATCTAGGATTTCCTTCAAAATTATCTGGAGAGGAAATCGACAGACATACATTGTTAAAGCTGAATTTAAGTATTCAGGAGTTGGTTCACCATACTATTCTCTAACTGGTGCTTGCAAGCTCATAAAATCAAAGTAACAGCAATATATTTAAATAGTATACTCAAGGCTGTTCATGAATAGCTAAAAAGTAGCAGTGGTCACTTAATCAGATACTTGGGCACCATAATCAGCAACTGTGCTTTGCCTACCTTTTCCTCAATTGGCTAGGAAAGAAAGTATTAGGGTTTGACTAGAGTATTTTAGTCCATGGAGTGACTGTGCCAATGCTTTGATAACAGCATTTACCCCCACAACAATACTAGAGGGCATGGTTTTACACAAGAGAACATGGCTTATTTTCTATGGAATCTATTAATCTCTCCTCTATTTAAAGTAGCCTCCTGCTCCCTTTTTGGCCCTGGGCTAGGAGAACCACACTCCAGCTTTCAGTGGTAATGGTGTACTCTCTGATGCTATCCAAGCTCTCCCTTCAGCAGCTCTTAAACTTGAGTATTAGCTCCTTCTCTTCCTAAAAACAAAAACCCCTTTTCTTAACTTTATTTATAAGACAGTCTATTCACAGGAAGTACTGCCTTACAGGTTATTATAAGATGACTGGACATGATGAGCTGAAGATAATCTCATTCTTGTGATAGTCCTGCTAAAAATGCAATGAGGAGACAGCAGACAAACCCAAATTGAGGGGAATTCTACAAATAACTGTCCTCTACTTTTCAAAATGACAAGGCCAAGAAAAAGGCTGAGGACGTGGTCCAGATTAAAGGAGACCGAAAAGCCATGACAACAAAACGTGGCAAATGATCCTGAACCAATAGAAAACAAAGAATTATTAGTGGTCAACTGAGACAGATCTATGGAGCATGGATTAGACAACAGTACTTTATTGATGTTATTTTTGGTAGGCACTGTAGTTTAACAGAATGTCCCATTCCTAGGAATTAGTTTTTAAGGAAAAAACAGCAAGATGTCTCTAATTTATTTTCATATGATTCAGGAAAAAAATTTTTGTAAATGAAACAAAGTATAATTAGTGATGGGAAAAGGGTATACAGTTTTTTGTACAAGATTTTTCTGTTTATCAAAATTATTACTTAAAAAGTCTATTCATTCTCTACTCTCTGAGCCTTCCTTAATCTGAGTGCTTTCCACTAGGAGGAATTATCTGACATTGTTTTTTTGTTTTTCTTTAATGCTTTAGGGCTGTTAGGAACTGAACCAGGATTTAAAGCCTGCCTCTGCTAATAAATCTTCATGCTAATTCCATGATTTCCTCAGAAATGATATTGAAAATGGGTATAAACGAGTGTAAACAGTAAATAAAAACTTAATTACTAAGTTTCCTAGTGCTTGACCTGTAATACTCAGTACCACCTGCTTCTGCAAAATTCCAATGAGCTCTGATGAGACTACCCAGGAAATACCAGTTCTTTCAGATTTACATCTCCAGAAGGATACACAAGAAACTAGTGTTCCTGGCTTCTTCCATGGGTTCAAAGGTGAAATTTGCCATGTTAACCTTTTTAGATCTCTCAATTTTTGACTCCTTTCTATTCAAGTATTATAAAAAGTTAATCACTTAAGTACTATACTGAGGGCCCATCTGTAGGGTTGCTGTAACCTAGCCAAGCAAATCTAAACAAGCTATTGAGGACCTAGATCAATTACACAATTGCATTAACTCATCCTTTTGGCCAATGGAAACCTGGTGTTAAACATACATAGATCCATCTTATTCAAGATGTGGTCATTGCCTCAAAAAGTTCAAAATTTAATGTGTAAATTGGTAATTAGTAGGTACCAAACCATGTAAAAAAACTTTCTTATCGTTTGATATTGAACATTAAAAATAGTATTTTTCATTCCTGCTACACAAGCCAAGGGATTAAATAGAACAATGAGGATACTGAACAAGTATGCTTACTATATATCACTCAGGAGTATACTAGTCAGCCATTTAAAATAGCAGATCTTAGTAAAAGCAAACTGCAGAACACCACTCACGGTAAGGACTAACAGCTTATTGGGAAGAATAGGTTTTATGATCAAATAATTCTGGGCAGTGACAGATACTGTTAACGGCAGCTACCTTAGCCAGTGAGCTCTAAAGGAAAGATACCTTATATTCCCAAGTATATATTAATTTTGCAATTAAGTCAAAACTTAAGAACAAAACATCCAACAGCCATAGGACTGAAATTGGATAAAGTCAGAAAACTGCCTTCTGAAAACAAGGTAAATAATAAAAACGTGAGGTTTCCTAAATGTAAACTGCCGAAGTTTAGAGTGCTCCAAGTCTAAATTAAGGAAATTAGGTTAAGGAATTTGGAAAAGGTGAATAAAGCTTCCTGGTTTACCTGAAAAATACGTCACAGAAAATGCTCAAACCACTATTAAGGTAACAGGTAAATTTTATGTGAAAGCAAGACAATACAAAAAAGTTTCATATGGTTAATCCTTCACAACAGCAGATAGTACTTATTATGGCTATTACATGTCATATGACAACATGTTCCTGATATTAACCTCTATTTTTAAAAGATTTTAAGTAATCTCTACACCCAACATGGGGCTTAAGCCATAAACCCCAAGGTCAAGAGTCTATGCTCCACTGATGGGGCCAGCCAGGTTTCCTGATCGTCATCTTTAATCTCCACAACTCATGGCTTGTCCTTGCCAATTTCATGGATGACATTAAAGCACAACGACTTGCCCAAGATAAACCATCCACTATGTCGATCCTAAAACAGGTCTCTGAGGAACTGAAAAGCCCTTTTCCTCATACTCAAGTCAGGAATGGCTTGCCAACTGGCAACTCTAGTTGAAAAAAACCATTTACCAAATATTTGGTACTAAGTGGGAATACACAATAAATCCAAAACCAGCAACCCTCAGTAAGCATTTTATTGAGGAGATAAAGCATAAAGTAGGTTAACAAAGTGGGCAAAAGAAGATACCAAGATGAAAGGTAGTAACAACACAGGACTGGAACGTAAATCACAGGAACTGGTAGGACTCAAATTGGCCTTAAAGGCACTATGGCGTGTCAGTCAACACTATCAGGTAAAAAGAAAGGGGAATCGAGATGTTGCTCATTTCTATTTTTGCGCTCAGTTTAATACTCTATCTAGCCAAGGATTTACACATGGCATGTTGCAGAGTCTCAGATTCTACTGATAAGTTAGCAAGGAACTAATAAACATTTCAGCAGTCAACTCTGTTCTCAAGTGGGCCAGTGTTATAGTGGTTTAGGTATATCCAATGACATTGAGGTCCACAGGGATAGAATAGGACTAGATTCTCAATAAGCTGGTCTTTGCTATTACCAGGAAACTTTTATGGGCGTAGGCACTTACCCATATAATTACCCACTTTGGGGGCAAGCAAGCTAACAACGTAGGTAAACCTGCCCATTACCATGTGAGGTTAGACTAACACAAGAAAGCCCAGTTGAAAGATGTTTTACACTTTTACAAAGTCAAATTTCACACTGCAATATTCCCCCCTCCTTCCTTTTTAAAAGGCTGTGGTTTTAAAAGCTTTTGTTCTTTCCCTGAAAACGAGAAAACTTTGGTCAAAGCCAATTCTTAAACCAACTTGTTCTTTAACCAAATTTTGAAAGGCAGCTAGAGATGTGCCTCTTCGTGAATTGTACCTTCTGTTCTTTCAAGTAGGAAAGTAACTACAATCACAGACACTAGTGTCTTCTTTCAAATTCTGAAGTTTATACTGGGAAAAAAAACCCATTTCTTGTGAATATCTAAACTTTAAAACAGTATGAGAGTAAAGAAAAGAAAATAAGGTCATGGAAGAAGCATCAGCCTTTTGGGGCACTATTTTCCTAAGAGTTAGGCTCTAAAATTTTCTAACAGGAAGCTCAGAAATTTCTGAATAACAAATCTTTCTATGCACTAGCAAGTACTCCTCCCAGCTACTCTGGGATTTTGACACCTAAATCTTTTGACTCAATTTTCTCAAGCAGCCTCATCTCAGGTATGCCTTCTGGATTATTGGAACCTACAAACCAACTCTAGATTATCATGCTTTCTAGTCACATCTGTGGCATGATGAGCACTATGCCAACCATGCCCCACTATAGTACAATCCAGTCCTTGACACCTTATGCAGTGACAGATCCTAGAAGATAATAAAGCGGAGTCAAACAATCGATATCTTGGTTTCAAACCAAGATTAATGAGTGCTTTTAAATGGAATTAAAGTATCTGAACATAAAAATAGAGGGTAATTCATTTCTCAAATTGCAACTTCAACTAATTAGGTTTATAGATGCATGGGCCCATTGGTTATCCAGTAACTCCTACAAATTTGCAGTATAATTTGGCTTCCACAGCATATATTAAAGTACAGAAAATTTAGAGGTTACCCATGTAAATTCTTTTCAAGCCCACCATATGCTGTAAAGTTACAAAGATGATCTCATCAATTATCACATAACCCCATCAACCATTAACGACTGATGGCTGGGTGGAATTTCACTCTAATCAGCAACCAATTTTACCAAGCAACCTGTTAAGTGCCTGTTAAATATAATAATCTTCCAGCTGAAAATGCAGTTATTTGCTTTTCTACTTTGAACAAGAATACGCTAAATTTCCAAAGAAAGGCTACTTCCATTTTCATACAACAAACACTAAAGACCATGGAACCATATTCTAACAAAACACCAATTACACTGACCATTTCTCCATAAAGTGGGATTACCAGGCTAAACGGGTTCTCAAGTATTAAGAACTACTTCTTCAAGAGTTCAATTAAATTTAAGTTGAAAAGTTTTCATCATTTAAAATCCACTAACTTAGGCAAAATCATATAATAGACGGACCACGAAATACCTTTTAAACTCAAAGGGGCAGATAGGACTTTGGCAAATTTGATTAACAGCACAAAATGTTATCCAAATCCAATAATTTATTGCTGGTCTGAGGCTTGCCTTCTTTTACACTTTGAATTTACATCGTTTCCACAAAGAGTAGATTACCAATATTTAAAGGAATTTAATAGTGACCTATTCAGTAAGGCAATTATCTTGGTAGCAAATTTTTATTGAAATCTTACAGAACTCAAGCTTATAAAAAGCCAACATAATTGAAAATTGGGTTCTCCCTCTAAAGCCTTAGGTATTCAAAGCTTGAAACGGTTAATTTAAAAGTAAGCAAACAAAACAACAAAACCCCTGCAGCAGATCCTGCTGAAATACTTAAAAAAAAATCTAAATGAGCTTAATCTTTACAAAAGTTATTTTAGCTCAAAAGCTATAAAATCAAAGTTATCTTAATTCTACAAAGAAGGGAGAGGATCTTTGACTTCATGCCACCATTTCTTTAGAACCTCATCTTTTTCATCAAATTTGGCCACAAATCAAATTTCTGTGTGCCCCTGTTTTCAGGAGATTCCTCTTGCAAAGAGGCCAAGTACAAACACGGAAGAGTAACTGCTTAAGCAAGTAGGAAAGTGTTCCATAATAGTGTGCAAAGAATGTAGAGTTCTAAGTTAATCTCTGGAACTCGATCTGGACCGTGACCTCGACTTTGAACGAGATCTAGAACGGGATCTTGAAGCTCTTTTTGGTGGAGGGGACACAGAACGTGCCTTTGAGGGTGGAGCAGGTAGGGGTGAATTTGAACGAGACTGGCTCCTTGATCTAGATTTTGACTTTATATCACCTTTTCCATTTTCTTTGGGGGAACGAGATCGAGAACGAGACCTGCTTCGAGATTTCTCATACTCCTTAGATCTGCTTCGAGAGCGTGAACGGGAGCCCCGATCAGACTTGGGCTTAGATTTGCTTTTTGATCTGGATTTCCTGCCTTTTGATCGAGAACGTGATCGACCTTTGCTCCGAGACCTGGATCTGGACAAGAAGAGCCGGATTTTTTTCTCAATACCTTGCCAGAACATACAAATAGAGTAACATTCAGAAAAAAAGATCTAACAGCTTATTATTTACCTGGAGCGACTTTTTGAGATACTTCGAGATCTACTGCGGCTGCTCCTGCGACTCCTACTTCGTGACCTTCTTCTAGACCGTGACCTATAACAAAAGATGCAATAAAAAACATTAATCTCATATTTCAACACAAACTTTTGTGTCATTTACAAAAAACAGTAAACAAAATATAATTTCTTACCATAAATTAAGTCCACCTTAAAACATTGAAAAGAACCTCAATGATGCACAACACAAAAGAGACTACATACTGAATTTCAACTAAGCATCAATTGAAATACTGCTGCTTGAATTTTTCTTTGCTCTTAGCAAATATGGTTTCTTCTCCTTTCCCTGTATCTCAACAAATTACCTTGATCTGCTTCCAGAGTAAGACCGCCTGTGGCTCGTTCGTGGTTTATCCTCAATGAGCCTGATATTTCTGCCATTTATTTCTGTACCATCCAGTTTATCCAAAGCACGCTTCATGTCAGAGTAGGAACGAAACTCAATCACGCCTTCATTTGTGCGTTCTTTGTGAGCATCCGCATAGGTTACTTCACCTGCTTGTCTCATGAAATCCTAAAGAAGCAACAAGATTAAACTCAGAAATGTAATGAAAAAAATCTACGTACTGTACTGGATTCTCAGAAATTTAAGAAAAAAGTGAAGCAAAAAGCCTACCTTTTAAACATTAGCCATATCGTTTTTTTTTTTTTAATTTATTTTGAAAGAGAGCACACACACGGGTAGGTGGAGCAGCAGAGAGAGAGCGAGAGAGGATCCCAAGCAGGCGCCGAGCTATCAGCGCGGAGCCCGGATGTGGGGCTCAAACCCACCCAACTGTGAGATCATGACCTGAGCTGAAATCAAGAGTCAGATGTTTAACTGAGCCACCCAGGTGCCCCAGCCGTATCATTTTTATCTCAAATTATAGCACATACCTTTAAATCTTGCCAACTGCAACGACTAGAAAGATTTTCTACAATAAGCCTGAATTCTGTACGAACAGGTGGTCCATATTTGTCTCTGCCAGAGGTTCTCCGACTGCTGTATCCACCTCCACCACCTTTATCACATGAAGAGAATAATTAGATGCTTTGTAATGACAGGGATGCATGTTTTTTGAAAGTTAGTACAAACATATCAACTTTTATTTACTGGAGTAGGACTTTGCTATTATACTGCTAAACCTTTGATACAGTTGTGATTTGCCATAAATTAAATTAAGGGCAAGTCAAATAGACTAAATCCAACTAAACTTCTCCTACAATCTGTTAGAGAGTGACTGCTCCTTTATTCAATTTACCTCGCTAAGTTTTATTTTACAGAACATTGTAAAATATAAAACTTAACTGATTACATGCATTTCTACATTTTACAAAAATGTTTACTAGTTACACTAAGTACTTACATCACAGTGTGAGGTTTTTGGTGGTGGTTTGGCCACAAAACACGCAAGGTAACAGTCACCTAGTTCAGATTAACCAGTTTTGTCTAACCCTTGGAATCCTCACCATCACCCTGCGTCTAATGGCAAAAGGCTGCTGTCGTCATGGCTTCCGGTAAGGTCAGCCAAAGGGTCATAGGGCAAGGGTCACACAATGTATGGAAAAGCCAAGGCCAATCAGGAAAGGCAGTCATCTTAGCCTCAGTGGACACAGCCTCAGCCCCATTGGTCACTTTCAAATTGAAACATCAAGGACTTGTTAAAAAGTTTGAATTCAACATGCAACAATTTCAACATCAAACATTTAACATAACCAAACCCCTCCCACCTCCTCCCAGTAACATGCCCCAAATAATTCAAATGCAGCATAAAGCTTATTTAAATCTGTGGTACTATACCACATTAGTTAAATAAAAATAGTATTTTCTTTGGCCCCCGCCAATTTTAATAACTCTAAGACCTAAACTTAAAACTCCTCCCCTTACCCCGTCCCCACCCCACCCCACCTCCACCCCAGCCTGCCCTCAAACTTCTACTCTAAAACATTCACATTTCTAGCTAAAGCACTGTCGGGTAAGCAAGGGGATACAACAAATACTGCCATCCCTCACTTCCTCCGTGGGCAGAGCCCACGACAGTGCTGACAGGGGCCCAAGCCACCCCCCGCCCCCAACTTAGCAAAAAAACAAAAACAAAAACAAAAACAACAAAAAAACCCCCACAACAACAAAATTAAATATATAAGCCCCAAAACAGCCCAACCCTGGCTAGGCAAAACCCACAACCCAATCCCCGCGCTCCGGCGTCCCGTAGCTGTCCCGGGCAGGCGTGAAGGCAGCGGCGCCCGGGGACACTGGAGCCAGTGGACCCCTGCCACCGCGCCTGCCCGGGCTGGGAGGCCCCACCCCGCCCACCCTAAGCCTGCGCCCACCCCCCAGGATCCCAAGGACGCGGAGCGCGCGGGGGTGGGACTCACTGCGGCTTCCGTAGCTGTAGCCGTCGCGATCGCGGCGCGGGCCCCGGGCGTGCTCCACGATCACGCGCTCGCCGCAGAGCTCTTTGCCGTTCAGTTCGTAAACGGCGTCGTCGGCGTCGCGGGAGTCCTCGAACTCCACGAAGCCGTACCTGGGGGCGGCGCGAGAGCCGGGAACCGGCAGGCGACGTTAGGCCGGGGGCGCGCACGCCCGCGCGCCCACCCTCCGCGCGCGCTCCCGCGACCCCGCGCCGCCGCCATTTTGGAGGCCCTGCCACGCGGCGCCGCGGCCTGGGCCATCTTCTGTCCAGCGGACCCCGCCGCCGCCAGACCCAGGGCACTGCGGACGGACGCGGGCTACCAGGCCGGACTCACCCATTTTTGAGGTCTATTTCGAGGAGACGGCCATAGCCGCTAAAAAAGCGCTGGATGTCCTTTTCCCGGACGTTGTAGCTAAGGCGTCCTATGTAGACGCGCGGCATGTCTGTGGCGGGCGAGGGGCCCGAAGGCTGGCGTCGAACTGCTGACCGCAAAGCAGGAGCCGCGGTGCGGGTGCGGGGACGGCGAGAGCCCGAACACGCGCCTCACACCGCAGCGGCGGCCGAGTCCAGCCACACAATGGTGCGCGCGCGCCAGAGCTGCACTATAAGGGAAGGCGAGCTGGGGGCGGGGCCAGCGCGTGGCGTCAGCGCGCAGCACGTACCCTCCCGCCCTGGAGCCCAGGGCTCGGGGGTGACTTGCAGGTCTACTTCCGCGAGGTTTTGGGGAAGTGCAGTTCTGCTCGCTTACACAATTTTCCCCACCCATTATTGTAAACGTAGTTTCCCGTCGTCGAGCCACAGACTTGTCTTCTAATTTGTACTCTTTAAAAAACCTCCTTGGTGTGATCTCTCCGGGACAGGAGCTTGGGAGGCAGTCCCGAAGGACTCCCGGTTTTCATTGGTTCCTGATGTTGTCGTTAATAGGACTCTGTGGTCTCTGATTGGCTCCTTAAAGCGAGGCTGCAAATTTCCTCCACTGATCGGCTCACGCTCCGCTCGGCGGGCAACGCGCGCTCCGACCCATGATTATCCCGTTTCACCTAATCCGAGGTTTACCCTCCGGAGTAGTGGTGACCCGCACGGTTTCGCGTTACGAGCATACAGCCTTGCTGGCCTCTATCCCTGGTGGTCTCACAGCTATCATCAGCCTTGACCGCCTCGCTGCCCGTCCCCCTCCATGGGTCTTTTCTTGAAACACTGGCAAGTCACCTGTAGATTGCTGTGTACGTGGTAATTCCACTCTCGCTGTGGGTGCTCCCAAAGGGAGTACGACCGAGGTCTCTGGCCCAAGAAAGTTAATCAAGACCTGGCAGCCCTCCTACACAGGTGCTGTCTTTTTCTCCTCCTCATGGAGAGTCCCGTGAACCAACAGGTTGGAAGCCCCCGTGTATTCGATAGAAATATACATTTTTTTTTTAGTGTTTCATTGGACATGCCTTTTAAAGCTGGAGAACTACATGAAAACCCCGAAGGAGTAAGCTTAAGTGGAGAGCAGAAAGCCCTAGTGTACTCTGAAATTTGACTACAGGAAAGGAGACTGGGAAGGAGGGAGTAGAGAGGTGGGGAAAGACGGGATAGCACGGTGTTACAGAAGCCAAGAGAAGAAGCAGTATCGGTGAGATAACACTGGCTGTTCAGGCATTTCCGAATATTCCATTTCTTTTTGAGCGGTTCAACCTTGATATTCTTTAGCTGGTTGAGAGAGGGCGATTTGGTCTTCCAGGGAACTTTTAGCAAAGTCTAGAAGCAAACTGATTATCACGACAGGGGGAGAAGTGTTAATGCTGGCATCTAGCGGTAAAGGCTAGGTAGTGCTTAAAAGTTAAATACAACACAAGAATATAGATCTATAAAAATTCGTGGGATATAGTAATTAGGGAAAAGAAAATTCAACAGTGCGACATTTTTTCACTCATCAAATTGTCACTATTTTTAAAAATGTTAAAATTCATTATGGGAAGAGGTGCATCAGGAAATGGCGCTGATACAGTGTCGGTTGGACTGAACATTCTATTTGGGAAGGTAATGGGGTAGTACTTACTAAAAGATGAATATAGGCAATGGGGTGTCACCTTCTGTCTTTGCAGTTAATGTGCCCAAAGAGAAAGATGCAGCTAACATCATCCTTTGCTTCCTCTAACCTCTCCCCAAAGGCCAATGGCTACTTTTGTTTGTTTTCTTGTTTGTTTGGGTTTTTGTTTAAGTTATCTCTGTGTCCTATGTGCAGCTGGAACTCACTACTCCCAGATCAAGAGTCACACGCTCCATGGACTGAGCCAGCCAGGCGCCCCCCAGTGGCTACTCTTAACAAAAAACCATTAACCCACCAACTACAGGAGACAGTCTCAAATGATCATCATTGAAGGTACTATTGGGCCATCAGCATTCTGTAGAATCTTGTTGATGATCTAACTCACCTCTGTTGATATTTTGGAAGAAAGACTCAAGGGCGAAATGATGGATGTATAGCACAGGAGGCCACTTCTTTTAGATACCTACAGTTGTGGCAGATAACGATCACTATTGCTGATTCTAAAATTGTGGAGGTAACTGCAGAAGTCTGTCAGCAAGAGAGAGTGGCCTCAGTCTCATCCAAAAGAGAGTTAATAACTTTGAATCCATCCATAAATACCCAGATTGTAAAGGATAGTTTAGAGCACACATTGTTGTGGTTTTCAATCCCAAGTACCATGTGATTTGAAGTGGGTATAAACTGAATTGTGATAGGTTTTGCTATATTATGTCTGGAAAACTTAGCATTCCAGAAGCTGTCATCTTGAATGGACTTGGGTTGAACTTGGCAACTCAAGTGTGTTTACATGGAGTGGAGTGAATGTATGCAGGTGTTGCTGTAGAAATGGAATTCAGAAATGGAAATTGTCAGGGACAGAGTTTGAAAGAAATGTGAATCAGATGATTGAAAGAGCTCGGAAGTGATGAGATTAAAGGTATATTTCCATTGCGGTATTGGATTAAATGTTGCCAAGCTAATCCAAACCCTTTTTGAAAAACATCTGTACAGGGTTCATCTAGACAGGGTTTTTCAACCTAAGCACTACTGACATTTGGGGCCAGGTAATTTTCTGTTGTGGGGGCTGTCCTGTGCACTGCAGGATGTTTAGCAGTGTTCCTGGCTGGCATCTACCTGTTAGACACCAGTAGCTCTTTCCCTCCCCCCAGCTGTGACAACTAAAAATAGATTGAGTGAAGAGGATTAAGAGGTACAAACTTTCAGTTATAAGTCATGGAGATGAAAAGTATAGCACAGGGAATATGGTCAGTAGTATTGTAATGATATGGTGTGGTGACAGATGGTGACCACACTTAAGGTGGTGAACATTGAGTGATGTATAGTTTTTGGATCAATCTGTTGCACACCTGAAGCTGATATAACAGTGTATGTCAATTATAATTCAGTAAAAAAAAATTGGGGGGTTAACAAAATGTTTTGAAATGTTGACAAATGTCTGCTAAAGCATAGAATTGACACCTAAGGTGTTGCTTGTGACAGTGAGGGGATGTGTGTCACTGAGAATGGGCTTCCCTTGTGTTCTGAGTATTCAAGGAGTAACCGGAATTTTCAGCAAAAGTGGAAGGATAATGAGGTTTCACCACCCAAGAAGACTGGGGAGGATACCTTGGTGGCTCAGTCTGTTGATATCGGACTCTTGGTTTTGGCTCAGGTCATGATCTTACAGTTCGTGTGTTTGAGCCCTGTGTTGAGCTCTGGCAGTGTGGAACCTGCTTTGGATTCTCTCTCTCCCTCTCTCTGCCCCTCCTGCTCTCTCTCTCTCTCTCTCTCTCTCTCTCTCAAAATAAATAAATAAACATTAAAAAAAGAAGACTGGGGATATACTGAAATATTTACATATCTGGTGTCATCTGAGCAATATGACAAGAAAATGTAAGGCTCTGAGTATAATTAACTGTGAACATATAATTTTTTTTTCTTTCTCAATACATGAATTTGAGCCCACAGCATCCAAGCACATGCATGGTATAATGCTTACATTAAGAACCTACAAATAAATAAACTCTATTAATGTCAAGTGGAAAAAATGCACAGAGGGGACCCGAGATATAAATCTGTGAGTTTGTCAAATACTAGATGAAACCCCCCAAAAAAGTAGACTGAGAGCAGAAGAAAATTCAGAACTATGCCCTGGGGGACTGTATTAACTCCTCTGTGTAAGCTGTATGGCTGCTGTAACAAATTACCATCAACTCAAGGGTTGAAAGCAACACAAATTTATTAGCTTGCAGTTCCAGAGGGCAGGAGTCAAGTGGTTCACTGGGTTAAAATTGGTGTCAGCCCGGCTGCACTCCTTCTGAAGGCTCTAGGGGAGTATCTGTCTCCTTGCCTTTTCCAACTTCTAGAGACTGTCTGCATTCTTTGGCTTGTGGTTCCTTCCTCCATCGTTGAAACCATGAATTTTGGTTGAGACCTTCTTGCATCCAGTTACTCTGACCCTGACCTCTGCTTCCATTGCCAGATCTCCTCCTCTGATGCTGAGTTTCTTGCTTTCCTCTTATAAGTCCCTCACCCCCACCCCCACCCCCACCCCCAGCCGTGATTACATTGGGCCCACTTGGATACTCCAGGATACACTCTCCATCCGAAGATCCTTGACCTAATCACTTCTGCAAAGTCTCTTTTGCCATGTAAGTAAGGTAACATCTTAAATTCTAGGGATTAGGACATGCACATCTTTTGTGGGGGCACTATTCTGCCTGCCAGAGGGACTCTGAAACTTACATACAGGAAAGGAGACTGGGAAGGGAGATAGGGAAAGAAACCAAAGAATACAGTGTCACAGAAGAAGCCAAGAGAGGAAAGGGTCTCAAGGAGGTGGTGACCTTCGACAAACAGAAAGTTCATGAGGCTTTGACCCAGCCACCGTACTCCTAGAAATCTTTTTGACAAGAGGATTGATTTGTAAAACCTTAGGCCCTAAGATGATATTCTAGCAGTGGAATACTCTAATCACTAAAAAGAATGTTAGATTTATTGATTTGACAAATACTTATTGTGTGCCTTCTGTGTGCCAGCCACTGCTCTTGGCATTGGGAATACAACAGGGGAGCTATGCATCAGGGTTTGTAAACACACCTTAGGCCAAATCTGGCCTGCCACCTGTTGTGTAAGTAAAGTTCTGGTGGAACACAGCCATTCATTCACGTATACCGTGTCTGCTCTTCAACCACAACAGCAGTATTGAGTAGTTGCAATAGAGACTGTCTCCCACAGAGTCTCAAATATTTAATAGCTGGGTCTTCATAGAAAATGTTTGCCTACCCGAACCCCTGATATAGACTTATAGAGATGCTCATGGTATGTTGTTAAGTGAGAAAGGCCAGGGTTAATATATGCATGATTTCATTTTTTTAAACAACAATAACCTTCTCAACCTCCCAAGCCCCAGCACGTTATATGAGTATGCATGTGTATGTGGGGTTGGACTTGTGGTTGTCTCTCAGCATCAGTGAGGTTAGGTCCTACATAATCATGTCCCCACTAACTTGCTCTCAGTGTTCCTTACTCCTCCTTCTATCTGCTCCTTGCTGTGCCTTGAATATGTCAAGCACACACCAACCACAGGGCCTTTGCATTGAATGCCTCTCTGTGTCTGGAGCTCTCTTTTCCTGTGACTTGTCTCCTCATCTCTGGTTTCTGTTCAAAGTCACCTTCTCACCCCTGTAACTACTTATTTTATTCTTTGATATGTTATTTTCCCCCCAGCTTTATAGAGATATCATTGACATACATTTAAGGCGTAATATGTGATGATTCAATACACGTGTATGTTGCAAAATGATGATCACAATCAGGTTAATTAACCCCTCCGACCCCTTAACATAATTACCATTTTTATATGTGGGTGATAACATTTACGATCTGCTCTCAGCATTTTTCCAGTTGTTAATACAGTGTTGTCTATTGTGAATTGTAGTCGCCATGCTGTACATTAGATCCCCAGAACTTACTCATCTTATAACTGAGAGTCTGTACCCTTTCACCGACATCTCATTCCCCCCCACCCTGGCCCCTGGCAACTGTTTCTACAAGTTCAGCTTTTTTAGATTCCATATATAAGTGAGAACATGTGGTATTTGTCTTTCTCTGTCTGACTTATTTCACTTAGCACAGTGCCCTCAAGATCCAACCATGTTGTCACAAAAGGCAGGGTTTTCTTTTTTTTAATGCCTGAATAATATTCCATATACATATGCCACATTCTTTATCTGTTCTTCTGTCGGTGGACACCTATGTTATTTCCACGTCTTGGCTATTGTGAATAATGCTGAAATGAACATATTCAAAAAGTGGTATCTTTTTGAAATAGTGCTTTCATTTCCTTTGAATATATACCCAGAAGTGAGATTGCTGGATCATATGGTATTTATATTTTTAATTTTTTGAGGAACCCTCCCCGTTGCTTTCCTAGTGGCTGCACCAATTTGCATTCCCGACAACAATGCACAAGCTTCCCTTTTGTCCACATCCTCACCAACACATGTTGAAAGCAGCTGTTCTGACAGGTGTGAGGTGACATCTCATTGTAACCCCCATTTTATTTTGTTTTGTTTTGTTTTATTTAATTGTATTTTATTCATGTTTTATTTTTGAGAGTGAGAGCGGGGGAGGGGCAGAGAGTGAGGGGGACAGAGGATCTGAAGCCGGCCGGCTCTGTGCTGACAGCAGCTGATGGGCTTCAAACTCGCAAACTGTGAGATCATGACTTGAGCCAAAGTCGATTGCTTAACCGATTGAGCCACCCAGGAGCCCCAATAACCCCCATTTTAAACTAGCATCCCTCTCTGAACTCTAGATCTTTTTTTTTTTAATGTTTTATTTGTTTTTGAGAGAGAGAGAGAGAGTGAGCAGGGGAGGGGTAGAAAGAGAGAGGGAGAGAGAGGATCCTAAGCAGGTTCCAAGCTGATATCAGAGAGCCTGACGCAGGGCCTGACCCTACCAACCATGAGGTCATGACCTGAGCCAATGCGCAACCGACTGAATCACCCAGGCGCCCCTGCACTCTATATCTTCTTATGCTGTTTTATTTTTCTATATAGAACTCTCATCACTTGGCGTATTATTTACTGTCTGTGCCCACCCCCGCTAGAACGTGAGCTTCATTAGTGCAGGAACGTTGTCTGTTTCCTCTGTGTGCCGTCTCCAGCCCTGAGAAGTGCCAGGCATGCAGTGAGTGCTCAGTGAGAGTAGCGCCGCTCAGGCAGTTGTTGCGAACTCATGGAGCGAGTATGTCCATTTAGCAGGTATTATTGCTGCAGGGGTCATCAGGGCCTGCTGATGGAATGGACTCTTCTTCCTTCTGATTGAAGCCCCACTCACTCATGCTGCCC